TTATTCTCATCAATAAGTTTGATGTATTTGTTTTTTATATTACTAATCTCAGTATCTTTTTCATTGGTTAATTTTTGACATTCAAGCTTCAAGATATATCAAATTTTCTTGCTTTAGCCTATTATATAGTTAATTTCTGATAAAATATCTATCAATGTTACAGTATTGGATAATTTTGGCAGAGCCTGCTCTGATGAGTATTTTATACTTCAATGTTGTCTTTCTTTTTTCTTATATTTTTCAACCTCATGTTTTAGAAAATTTTCAATTTCTGAATTTATATTACCTACCTCAACCTCTGTTAAAGGATTATTTTTTCAACTTGTAAGACACTTCCAAGATTCTTGTATTATTGATGGTGGTAATTGGTCAACCAAGTTTGAATAATTTTTGTGGAATTCCATAGAATATTCCTATATAAGAATTCCAAAGAATTCCAAATAAAAAAAAAATTTATATTAGAAAAATTTAAAATATTGTTTTTCAAGTAATTATGTCATATCTCTAGAAATTTAGCATGGCTATTGATATTCGGGTTTGAGTGTTAATTTCATAGCTCTTTTTTCTGCTTCTTCAGGAATTACCCCTGATGCAACAAACTTTTTATATGCACGAATTATCCAATGCTCATAAGGTAAAGTTCAGATTCCATCAGATAAAATCCAGTGCTTACTGTCATAAGGATTTAGCCCTATTTTGTTAACGCGTTCTAAATAAATTTGATGATCATAGCTATGAAGCCCATACATGTTGTGCCTAGTAATTTTTCGAGTTTTTAAGCATTCTAGGAACTTGTCATGATAAAGCTCCCTTTTTACTACTGTTTTTTTAATGCCCTTGGCCTTTTGTATGCCATGCTTTCTCTGCCAACCCTCTCAACCCTCTCTTCTAACTCTTTTTCAAAATCCGCCTCTGTTTTTGGCGTTTTGGGATCATGACCAACTGGAAGAACTGAATACATTTTCGGCTTTAAACATACAGCTTCACTAATCGGGATCCCCTTTACACTCATCTTTCATTAGAAATAAGTCTCCAGAATTATTAAGATCAAATAGGTCTGGCCTCTCTGCCCAGTCTTTATAAATGTCTTCAGTTTCAATCCACATAATTAGTGAATTGGTATCAGTATAAAGAAGGCGGGCCTTTTCTCCATAATGGGGTTTAATATAGCCATACCAAAAGTTATACATCATAGCCTTACTAATATCAAGAATTGCTTGCCCTACAAACATTGGCTTATTTTAGAGTAATCTGGCTTTTTAGCATATGGATGGCTGTAATTCCACCATCAAAAGCCTTAAAACCTACATATAAAGGAGATGTGGTAAGACATTTAAGTTTTTTGTCCCCATCAGGTTTAAGTAATTCTACTCTCATATGTTTTTGGACATTTTCCATTTGCTTACCAAAGATGGCATTATTTTTTAATTTATAGTACATAACTCCAAATTCATCCCCAGATGCTTTAGCAATTTTTCTTTTGCAAATATTTTCCTCTATATATGGCTTCATCCATGGGGATTGATGGAATTTTAGAGCTTCATGAATTTTTGTAACCTTTAATCCAAGGCTTATATAAAG